ACATATATATATATATAGGTATATATATTTTGGAAGTAATATAATTCAAAAAATTAATAATTACCCAGATGACAGAAAAAAATTATTTTTTAACTTAGAAAATAGAAAATGATTCTCTCTCTCTCTCTCTCTCTCTCTCTCTCTCTCTTTTCTTAACATGATCAAACGTCATTCTTGTCATTTTATTTCACAACTCTTAAAAAGCATCCTTTTTGAGTTGTGATAACTTTTTCAAAGTTATTCTTTTCGAATTGTGATAATTTTGATGCTTTAAACAAAGTTAAGTTAATTCACTTATGATTGGTAATTTTACTTAATTCATTAGTAGTAATAATTCGAAAGTCGCATTTCTCGGTTGTGTCACTTTTGAAGCAAAAAAGATTTTTATAAAGTAAATAGACATACCTAATGGATAAAATAAAAGTTAGTCTTATTAGACATAATAAATTCCAATCAAACATGTCAATATTAATTATCTTGCTTATAATGTGAAAATAGGTAAACATGTTGAAGGCGAATATCACATCCATGAACCTGGTGGCAATGTCAGGAGCGTAAAATATCATGCTGATCCTCACGGCGGGTTTTACGCCGAAGTTCATAACTACGGCGGAAACGATCATTCAGGTGGAACATATGGTGGTCATAAACATCGATAAATGAAAAAGATATCATAACGAACAACTATTGATAAAATGATTAATAAAAAAATTAAGGGTGACTAACGAGAATAATGTTATATACGAGCCTGCATTCTGTACAAACTCGATCGTAGCCATATATTGTTAAATGCTTATTTTTATATTTTGTGAATTATATATGTTGAAATATTATTCTTATAAATTGTTAATATTTTATCTTTTTACAGTAGATAAAAGCATATTGTGTATATCAATAAAAAATATTATTATATAATTTATGACCTGTACGTTATTTATTGCCAAGCATTCATAAATATTTTCTTTTAATTTCAATTTGCATCTTTTTAATTTTTAATAGCAAGCGTTGGATGAATTATCAAAATTAAACATTTTTTATAAGAGCGCGAAAACAAATTTTAAGTTTATAAAAAAAATATGGACAATTACAATAAATGAAATATAAAATGACAAGAATAAATTAAATAAGAAAATAAAACTTTTTTTCGGTCAAAGCGAATCTTGATGCTTGATAATATTTATAATGAATTTATGCAAGTAAAATACGAGACTAATAATTCTAACGTAATTTCTACGTCAAGATTGTATCGATGTAAAAATATCAATCATCCACTTCTTTATAATTTCCAAACGAACTCTCCTTTGGAATTCATTCCTGGTTTTACCGCAATCGCGTGATCTCGTTTCATCAAAACGAGTGGGAGCTGCTTGCTCGATTTCTGCTGACCGAATGCAGCGAAGTTGGTCGATCTCTCTCATCAGCACGCCGCAACATGTTTTTATCCAATCACGTTCTCGCACACATTCGACCTCTCGAGTCAGCAACGGAACGAACCGACTATGGTGGCATCGTAGAAAGACGAAGGAAGTGCAAAATTTTCGCAGCAGAGAAAACGACGTGGCGTGGCGAGGGTGAAAGGACCGAGGCCGAAATTTTGTGCCCTCTCGTTGAACAATAGCGACGGATTGGTCGTTCTATAAGGAGACCGGTCGGTCATTGTGTTATTGACCCTGCCAATTTTGGTGCCAATTTCATCGCCAATTCCGTTGTCAATCTCGACGATTTCCAACGCGGATAATCGCATTGCCTAAACGCGTCGACAATTTCTATTAAGTTCTCTTAACGGAGAGTACGGTATATATAGGGATGGTCCGGGCGCTGAGATAGAAACGATGCAGAATTTCCCGGAGCGAGTAGCCAGAGTTTCACATTTCGCAACATTTCCAAGCTTATAATCCTTGCCCTCGGTTTCAACTAACAACCGGTTGAATTATTACCGCTATCATGAACAAATTAATAATTATAAACGAGCTAAGTATTCACGAACCATTACAAAAGTTTTGTAAACCCAATACGTTTCGTTGTTTAGAAATAATGACGTTATTCTCCCTTCCACCAGCTGTACAAACGCTATTACATATTGCATGCAAAAACAGTTCGTTATAAAAGAAAAATGGAGATGTTATACCTACGTTTTACATATCTAACGCAACTGTGCACACTGAATCACTATTCGTCGTCCAATTTTACATGTTGTGATATCTTTCCAGCTAGACACGCTCGAAATGGTCGCATCGAAGATTGCGACAATCAAGTAAAGGCTTATTAGCATAATTGACATTCCTCTAGTGCCCGCTGTACCGTCCAAGGTATATGATTTTAACTTAGATATTACGGTTGCTCATCAAGCGCAGTAGTTTGAGTAAGAACCACGAGAACCAGTGCCATGGAGGTCTTTACATGCCTCCGTATTCTCTTTGAACCTTCGCTAACGTAGAATGGAGCATGTTAATGAATGGTTCACGCTCTCGCCACATATATCCTTACCTATATGTTACCCTTTCAGGTGGTTACCACATATTATGCTTGTAAATTCTCAATCCTTAAAACGATGAAATAAATAAGAAAAGATCTGTAGCTATATTAAAGTCATAGAAAATAATCTATCCGTGTAAAGTTATCAAATCTTTTAAAAACGTGATTATATGAAGATACGGTTATAGGTATATTTGAAGAACATATTTTAGAATATTAGACACGCCCTCTCACTATATCTCATTCAGTATTAAACTTCAGAGAACGGAAATGGACTCACATAAAGGGAACGTGCAGATAGGGGGCAATGACAGTATATTTCAGCAGATTGATAAGATCACGTAGTCAAGATCAGATACGGCGTAATCTGTCTTGGAGACGCTAATCTGAGTATGAGACTGATAGCTTAGATAATGCCGCGCACCCACATGTCGATTATGCTGATTGTGTGAGGTGACGCGTCAATGGAAGATGTTATTTGTGATTGTCAAGATTGTCACGGATTTATAAGCATGATGTCTTTACGTGTCTTTGTCATGAGAAAAATACTCTACTATATCTATATAAATATAAGTATATAAATTAGAATTAAATGTACCGTCATTTTCGTGCCTTGACAGCAAGTGGATATCTCCGATGACTTATTGTCCACACAAAGCCGCCGTGTTACCAAACATATTGCTTGTGGTCTCTTACTGTTGTACGAGCGCTAATCTGTTGCAAGATCCTCGTTATCTATACACTGTTAATTGGAACAGTAAGTTAAGGCGTAAATACCGCAGTTGTAATGTAATGTAGAAAAAAGTAAGAGACGTATAAAGATTAATACGAGATTAATTTTTTGTTTTTGCCATTATAATACAATATATTAACGATGAGTGATTTAAAATATTAAACTATCTTGCTTGAAATTGAGCACTCGAGTGTGCTTAACGTTGAATAAACTTTCTGTTACACAATTTTACTTTATTAAATATTATCGTCACCCTCTGTTAGACATCCAATCCATCAAGATTAGTAAGAACATCAACAGGATCACGATATAAAGCAATAAATTAAATTAAGTTATATACGAAGGGAACACAAGCCGGATATTATTAATGCGATGCGATGTTCTCTCGCATAATACGAGTGCGCATAGCGACGTCCAAGCATATGGATCAATACAATTGTTACTAAAGCAAATGGACGGATTACGAGACTGCTCTTTTTTTAGACACGAGATACTTCCAGGAATAGTTATTCCTAAATCTGAAATCTACTTGATATGCAGAGTCCCGTCGAGACTTTCCACGAGGAACACTGTACTTCAGCCTGTAATTCCTTCCATAATTAGCGAAATCGCAGATTACTTTACAAATATACAAAAATAATCGAAGCTTAAATTTTTTTTTGAAGAACGGTGATTGAAACGGTCTCTCTTTATCTCACATAATTCGAACCACTGATATTGGAGAGCTTGACTTTATTTGGCGTATCGGATACACCCGTAACGCGCGTTCACTTTGCCTTTCCGTCGACACGGAAGCAACGGAGTTACGGATGAGAAGGTTAAATCTCTGATATCAAGCGTATCACATGCTTGAATTTCATCATAGTGCACGTTACACGTGTAACGTATTTGTAGTGTAAATAGGTTATTGTTACGCGCGGCGCGAGTGAAATTTTCCGATAATGACGCTAGTCGTTGCGATTTGGAAGACGACGATAGCTATTAAACTAATGACAGCAGCTCGTGCTCATTTAATTATCGATTACTATCATTTTTATCACAGAAAAGTAATTGCTATACGTTATTCAATCTTTTCCAAATCACTGATTTATGTATATCCAAAAATTGTAACTAATGATTTACTGTATATGTGTGTTTTTGACACGAAGATTATTATTAAAGTAAATTTGCAGAACAAACCGTTAATATAACTCGTGTTTCTTCTGAATAAAAAAAGTATTTATTAAAAAAGAATCAATATTTATTAAAATTATAGAGAAAGGTTGCTTTGTTTTTAAACAATATTTCTAAAACAAAAGCTATTAAAAATAAAACTTCAGAAACATAATACAAATTAGGAAGTATCTTTTATCCGATAATAATGTAGCAGTCTTTATAATACTTTCCTCAATGTTTCAATAATTAAAACACATCGTGTTTTTATAAATATTAATAAAGTACAATAACTATAGTTTCCGAGAAAAAAAGGGAATGTTTCTTTAGGAGATCCCTGTAACTATATTGGCGACTTTTCTCTATTAATTAATCATTTAATATTGTTTAAATTAAATATTTTTATGTAATCTTTCTCTCTCTTTTTAATTGTCTTCATATTAACTATAGTATTTAATGAGTATATTATTAAGATAATAAATAAATTTGTTATATAAATTTTTCTGTTATTGTTTAACTTATCCGATTGCAATATTTTTATTTGTAAACGTTTATTTTAAGAACTTTAAACCCTCTCCCGCCTATCGTGTAGAAATAAACAAAAAATTCAGATTTCTCAAAGAAACAAAAAAACTCGATATAGTATGTATGTATATCATATGTATACTGAAAAAATTAATTATTTCTTGGTTCATATTTGGTCTATTATTGTATTCGAATATTGCCATCGTGCGCTTCGATATTCCACTACGATGAATGAAAGCCAACTGTTTCGAGACTTTTGGGGAAAAAACTTCCGTAACGCAATCGATAGAACAAAATCGATTGTTTCAGCGAGACGTATCCACATGCATGGCGTTCGCTATAGCAGCGTTTCATCGCAAAAGTGCCCAATCTTATGCATAGGAAAGCGATTGGTTCACGTCGTGTTTTTGTCATTCGCAGGGACCGTTCTGTCCTAAATAATGGTGGCGAAATTCTCCTGGCAAAAAGAAACATTGGTGCGCGCTATATAAACTTCTATCAGTATCGACAAAAGTATCATTCGTATGTTAGGAGTCAGGTGCAAACAGGAGAAGAATAATTAAAAAGGTTCGTATCCGTTAAAATGTGATATGTTCTTAATTAGTTATTATATAATCTAATTATAACACACATATGTATGTATAAATGTATATATATGTATATGATTTTAACATTTAATTTTTAATGTTACATATCATTTTTTAAATGATAGAATAAAACTTTTTCATAAATTCCTATCAACACTAAACATAAAGAGTTAATTTCTTGTTAACTGTACTTTAAATAAAGGAGCATCGACTTTTTTGCTTTCTATATATTGTGCTTTTAATGTGTAATACTAATATTTTATATACATCTTACTGCAAGTTTTTTTTATCGGTTACTAAACTCATGTGAGTTTTTTTATTAGATATTATAACTCGTTTATCACAGCTATTTCGTAATCTATGAAATGGAGAAAACCCCTACTTATAATCAGTAGGTAAAAGAAAATGCTTTTGAGTGCAGAATTCTAAGCTTCGTCCTTGTTTTGTGCAAGAGTACATGTAAATGGCAACAATTTGTCGACAGCTTGCTCTGTTATTGGCTGTATTGGCCCTTGCAGCAATTCAAAGTGGATTGGCAGAGCATGCTCACAGTTTCGCACACTTTCATGGACCAATTGTAGGGCCTGGACACGAACTGGTTGTCCACGATAAGCATGGTCATCATCATGTAGACTACATCGCACATCCCAAGTACAAGTTCGCGTACGGAGTAGAGGATCATCACACTGGTGATTATCATGGACAAAAAGAGTACAGAGATGGTAAGACAGATCCCTAATTTATGTAATGGCAAAACATTTGCAAATAATTAAAAGACAAAATTATAATCATAAATGTAATATTTATTATAAATTTTATTACGAAAGAATCGAATGATTTATATAAATATTTTAACCTATAAAGTAATTACAGATATTTTACATAAATTTTTACATGCTATTTATATTTAATGCTGCTTTGTTCCGCTAATTTATAAGATGTTATCAGATCGTGCAGCTTTATTACTTATCTATATTAATTGATCATTTATTTTAAATTTATATTAAAATAAATTAATTAAAAAAAACGAAGTAAACCTATGTATGTATACAGCAACAATTAACACCATTTTATAGTTAATATAACTTAAAAAAAATAATAGATACATATTGTAATTAAATACAAGTTTAAGAAATTCGAAGTTAGATTATCGTATAATGAACTTATACTGTATACATGTGCATGTGTGTGTGTATGGCATATATCAATTTACGTGGCTAAAATCTATCTTCTAATTACAAGTAAATTTTATTAACTTATATCATCTATAGTCAATACAGTTAAGAGAAAAAGTATGATTATTATATTTTAGTCGCTTTTTTTACAGTAAATTAAACTTCCTAAGTTATTCAGCGTCAAACCTATTAAAATTTATGTAATCATGCAAAGAGTTGCTGAATTTTTTACGATGCTAGCGCAACAACGTGGAAAATTTTGTGGTCTAAATGTTACTGAAAGTTTCTAAAAAATTTCGATAAAACTTTGTCTGGCGGATCTTCACCTATAAACGGGTAGGTAGATATTCGCCGAAAGCGCAACTCTGAATCACAATAAGCCGAGCGTAGAGCGCTTTAAACTTATCGACACAATATTTTTTTCTCGACACTCATTTTTTTTTATTTTTGCATAGCCGTGTCGGTAGTTAAAGATTATAAATGACGAGGTCAGATTACACGGCGGTACGCTCCGGTGCGCTCCATTTTAATTAAACATCGCGGCGCGATAGCTGTATTGACGTAACATAATATACAGATATTATAATATCAATTCCACACCATGTGTTTAATTTTCTACAATTAATGTACGATCACGATAGCAATCTATAATATCCATCGCGTATTGGTGCAAGAGCAGTTTTTCGTTCGCAGGAAAAAAGGTCATCGGCGAGTATACCATCAAGGAACCGGGCGGTAACACCAGAACCGTGACCTACCACGTTGATCCGCATGGAGGATTTTTTGCTCACGTCCACAACTCCGGCGGTAATAACCATCACGGAGGTACATACGGCGGTTACGGGCACTACTGAAGGCATTAAGAAACCTAAGTGTGATATACGACAGTAAAACGCTTAACCCAGGTCACTTCTCGTCTTGTGTTATAATTGTTAAATAAACATTTACTGTTCTCAAATTTACGGCGTATTCTACTTATACTTTTATTACCTACCTTAATTCAAAAAATTATGGAAGTACGACACGTATGGAGGATTATTTGTTTAGTAAAATTCTTGAACGTTACATACGGAACTGTAATTAAAACTTCCTTTAATTTTTTTTACTTTGTGATTCCAATTAGAGATGAGTCTGTTATGTTTTATCTTGCTCTTAAAATATTAAATGAATTTAACGAAAAATTTTCTTTTTCAAGAGAAAATTTATGTTTCTTCTTTCGTTACGTAAATTTAAAGAGATAGATACCCGCTACTACAGAAAAATATATATGACATATAAATACAATTCTATTTTGGAATAGTATAATAAATTATACATCGTTTAAAGTGGGCTTTATTATATATATATATATATATGTATATATACTCCTATACTATATGTATCATATTTTAGATTTTCGTCGCTATTGCGGCTTCGCTTATACAATCGAAAGCGTTATTACTTATAGAATAGCAACGGCGATTCAGAAGTGTAGGCAGAACAAATAAATGGACAGATTGCGTGTATATAGGTCTAGCTCAATGAGCGAGCGAGGTGTTCTAAGCTTCGGCGAACATATTGGGTCACGTATTGGAACCAGCGCGATCACTATCGCGTGAATAGACTAGCAGAAATTGAATTGCACTTACACGGCTATATACATGCCATTGAATAGTGTACAATTCACCATTATCGCATTAGAAGGTACATGCTAAGGAAACGATTTAAGTATTATAATTCAGAAATTCTGTATCACTTAGTCATGCTTTTATATCTCAGGAGACGTCTCACTGTTTGTATTAAATTAGCAAACGTTTAAGGGAACTTTGTGAACGAGAACGATTTAAATTACATTTTAATCCATACTCATACATTTAATAAATCTTTAATAAAGATCATTCGCTAATTCCTCAATTTCTTTATGAACATTTTGTAATTATCTTTAACATGTTGTGTGATTGGTTAACGGATTTAGTTGATGGAACCAGTGTGTTAATACTTACACGAAGACAAATTCTAATTATATCGACGTGACGTTTAAAAATAGTTTAAAAATTGGTCTTAAGATAAATAATGAATCCTTTAAGTGGTTAATGGAATAAATATTTATGCACAGTGTAGGCATATCTGAGATGCAATTTTAGTCGCTGAAGTCTCGCTTAAAAGGATGAAATTAAGACGCTGCCCTTTGAGCCAGAAGAGATACTGCACCGAGAAAGAGAGTGCCCTTTCTCGAAGAACGAAACTTGAATGTCAAGAGAGAGAGAGAGAGAGAGAGAGAGCGAACGTAGCTGGCGTTGGCGTTAGAAAACGTATTAATTTTTCAGGCCGCATCAGAGATGCGAGTGAAAATTAATCTGATGGTGCATGCACCATCGACTCTCAAAGGTAAGTATTTCGTACATATTGAGCGCATAAATGCGTAAGGCGACCCTGCGTACTAAATGTGGAGATGAGACAGCGGCCTCTTTACAAATTCTTTTGAGAGTGCGGTTAGACTGATTATTCTGCACGAAGCAGAGCTCGAAAGAATAAATCACGGCGTGAACGCACAGCGTGCTCGGACCCCGTATATTACGCGAATAATCACGATTGATCATCGCGGGGCGGAAGAAAACTGCGGGAGATGATATATGAACGGCGCGCGGAACGTACGGCGCGCACGTGGTTTCAATGATTCCATTTACGTGAACGATAATACGTCCAGTCTCTCTCCGTATCGAGACTCCCTTTGCTTTCTTCCTACTCTTATTTCTTCTTTTGCTTCTATTTTTTTTTACTTTTACACGATAACTGCCATGTACGTAGGACTGTAGTTACAAAAGGGCTGCGTGCTTTGTGGTTCGCCCTCGCTCGAGAAAGTGACAAATGAAATTTCGCACGTCTCCACCTTCTTCGTGGAAAAAATAGAAAATCTCGAAATTACTGTTTCTCTGACTCTCCGAGGAAGGATAATTTTATTGACGGGTGTGTTATGTGTTCCAGTCACCATTGTTGTTCTTCCATCTCCCTTCCGATTTACTCGAACGTCTTGATGCCCTCTTGCGAATACGAGGCAATCTACAGGGCTAGATTGTATTGTCTAGGTAGTTCTGCCTTTTCTTTGAAAGGGACGAAAATAGGATGAGTAGACGTTATTCAGGACAAAGAAATGTTTAAATTTGACAATTTCAAATACAATTTCTTTTGATTATATATCGTTTCGCGGTCTATATATTATCTATCTGTTTTATTTATTTACAACAATAGTGTTGCCACAAAAAATAATGTATCAGAAAAACTGAGAAAAGACTTTTGAAGAAGATAAATAATCTAAATTAAAACGCAAGAGAGAGAGAGAAATCATTTTTATTTTTCTGCACGCAAGAAAATTTCTTGAAACAGCAATCTAAATATTTTAAATATCTGTTTCTCGTTAAGTATAGTTAAATCTAAAACAATTAAATTAAATTTGTAATATAATAAATACAAAAGGAAAGAGACAATAAAATAAAGCTTAATAAGTATTTAAAAAGTATAATATAAAAAGATAAAGATATAAAATAGAATAGAATAATTCATTACTTCAACTTACATTACCAAGAAGAGTTTACAGTAACGTCTTAATCACACACATCCATCTATTTCTTATAAATTAATGGCTAACTAAAAACTTACGACTAGTATATCAATCTTATCGCTCGTACAGACTTTTTTTATTCGGTAGTTAATCTATCTATCAGTCTTTAGTTTGTATTACTTTATCATTATTTACATCAATATCACATTGTCATTTTATATTACAAAATTCTTACACAAAGCCCGGATATTTACAATCTTTTTCTCAATATCTTAGTCTTCTTATTATTATTCACTTCTATTCTTTTTTTTTTTGTATGTTTTTTCATCTATGTTTTTCCATCTATCTAGACACAGATGTGAAAATAATTTTGTTTGAACCATAATCAGGATCTTTAAACTGATTGCTAGAATGTTACAACTTTTTGCAGCATTGTCATCAATACTTAAGCATTTTACATAATTATTTTGTTAGTCCAACAAAATTATTTTCAGAGTTATAGGATCTAGCTGTACTTTCGTAAAATCGTTCTTTCCGTGTACTTACAAACACCATGCGGTTGTTCTATGATATTTTTTCACGTAATGCTTGTATAAAATTAAAATATATAAATTATTGTTACCTACTTAATAAATATATAAAAACTTTATTTTTAACAAATTATTACTTAAGATCATTGCATTGTATGTAATAACGCTTCCGAATTTTAAAGACTGTTTAACGCGTTTATCACCAATATTCATAGTCGATATTCTTACATTTAAGACTACCTTAAGAACAGTCTTAGGATGTCATAAATAAATAAACTCCTCAAGACTGAACTTAAGATGGTCTTGAATATAAGAACTGACTATGAATACCGGCCACAGAATAGTATTAAGATCTTAAGATATTACTTAAGAGAGTCTTAAAATAAAAACGAACTATAAGTACCGGTCTATACATAAGTGGTTCTTTATTTATAAAATCTTTAATTCAAATAAGTATATCTCCTGAGTATAGAACCTCAGCATCCCGTCAAGCATAGTCACATTTAGACGTCGTCATGTGAGAAGGATGGAGGCGGGTTGTCGGAAACAGCCGGTGGTAATAATGCGAGGTGGACGTGATAGGGTGCGATCGATTTTCTCGATCTCGGGGGAACGAACTCTTTATTATTCTGACTGAGAGACCGAGGTACTTCTAAGAAAGCGTTGTTATTCGATTTCGGTCGGCGTCGCTCATTCTCTCGAATCCGCAGCCGCCGCAGCCACCACCTTTCACCCCTTATTTCCTTAGCCTACTTCGTGGCAGTAAAAATCCAATTCATCCCGAGACGCTGGACAGGAATAAGTGTATTCCGAGAACGTCGTCGTCGTCGTTGTCATTGTCGTTGTGCACGTTCGTACGGCATAACAAATCGTGCGTCGAATCGAGTTATACCTCCGAAGAAATTCGGCAATCGCAAAAATCGTTGACGTCAAAAGGTATCTGGCGAGTTCACCACATGGCTATAAATCTATACAGGGTGTACGGTAAATTGTGGCACAATCGGCGAGGAAGCTCTTTCTCGTGAAAGCAGCTTAAAATCACGAGATAAATTTTCTTTATTGACTCGTAGAGAAAATCTTCGAGAAAAATGATAATCTTGAATGTAAAAATGGTGGCGTTCTATTTTCACATTAGCATTTAAAAAAACAAATTTTATATAATAGAAAAAAAGTACACGAATTTTCTGAAGTTTATTTGAGCTAGATATTGATCCGAAAATAACTACTTTTGTTGGACCATCGAAATAATTATTCTCATAGGATTCTCAAATTATTCAAAATTTTGTAGGTAAAGTAATCAATGTTGTAAGTTTTACACAATTACCATATGATAGTTCAACAAAAATTTATAATTTTATATTTATATCTAATTAAATTTTTAGGTAAACTTCAGAAAAAAAAACGATGTTTTCCATATAATAACATTATTAATTTGAATATCAAAATTATAAGCATTTAAGCAATGGCATATTTATTTTTACGTACATAAGTCTCCCTTAATAATTTTCAATCCGTCTGGGCCTGTCTTATTATTGATGTAGAAAAAATCTGTTATCGCGTTTCAAAATCACCGTCATTCAGAAATTGGTCTCTGGGCTTGCTTTACCACCAAGAGAGTTTCACGGTTTGCCGGCTTAAAGTGCCTTCACAAAAAGACCATTATAAATTCCATTAATATTTGCCGGGCATTCGAGCCAAACCGGGAGTTTAATTATCTCATGGGCAGCCTCCTCCAACCGCGCGCCGCTAAGTAAAGGGGGATGGTATGCTGAATTAAGTAAGACTC